GTAGAGAAACAGGTGAGAGATATAGAGAATGCGTGGAAGTAAGAGGGGCTTTTGGTGGTGGTGGCGGGACAGTTTGGAGGGGGGGTGATTATTTATCGGAATGGGTAGACTGAACTGGTAATTTTAATGAGAGAAAGTATGAATGAAGAACGGTACCGGGATTTGTGTGTAAAGGCGGTTACACACGGACGTGGAGCGAAGCAAATTCTGCAATTCACATAAGTGCCTTAAAAATACTTTTTTTTACTACTAACCTGAGAAATAGACATTATTCAATCTATTTTTCTAAGAAAAAATTGAATTTCTCTCCCTAGGTTAATAATGAAAATAATGAAAAAATACCTAGGTCAATAATGAAAATGACGTCATGACGCAAGGATATTGTCATGTTTCTATTGGATCAATTTCAATTTCATACGTCAATTTGAAAAAAAATACAGGTTTCTGTAGGTACATAGGAAGTTATATAAGCTGTTAATAGAGGGCAGCACTTTCAAGAGGGCGTTCACAAAAAAAAATTAGAACACAGATTTTAAACAATTTTTTTATTTTCTACTAGCAGTAGTAAAAAAAATTCTATATATTCCGCGGTAGAGAAAGTCATTATATACCTCAAACATTATAAACCTCGGCGCTGCGCGCCTTGGTTTATAAAAGCTTTCGGTATATAATGACCAACTTCTCTACCTAGGTATATAATATACTATTTTCTCCAAACGTTAGAAAAACGTCACTTTGTTAACTCCTGTCAAGATGTCAGAAATTTGATTTCTATGCTGCTAGGCAAATCCAGCGGGTTAACACCTGTCGAGGTGGTAGAAATTTAATTTCTAAGCTGCTTGGCAACCCCAGCGGCAGCAAAAGTACTTTTAGTGCCGCTCGTACTTTTACTGCCGCTCAACCATTCACTTGCCCCCGAGCTTACCCCATTCGTTTGGAGAAAAAATAGCGTGTTGCATACGGAGTAGAAGCACTTTTTTGTGCTTCAGCAGTATTGCAAGCCGAACGTAGTGAGGCTCGCAAACCTACCGCTTCAGCACAAGAAAGTAAAGCTTCTACTCCTAATACAACAATATACTATTTACACAAATATCATACAATACAATCACACAGTACAAGTACCAGTAACAAATTGGATTTTCAAATGAATAATAAATTGGAAGCATCTTTCCAGTAGTAATATAACTAGTGCATAAAAATTTCCCTTAGGGAATATTTTATGCACGTGTTATATTTTGATAGGAAATTTTCCGAGTTTGAAGTTTATACGTTGTGTCCAATATTTAAATTATGGTGATGTGTTCTGTGATGGTTGTTATTGATCTTCCCCATTTAAATTGCGTTTTTCAAAAAATATACACTTTGACAGATTTCTGACATCAATGCGTTTTAAATGGAAAAGCTGGGGGCGGATTACGAACTCTCGATTCAAACCGAAACCGCCATGGATTTCGAACGCACTCCATGCAAATGCATCAGAATGCGTTCGAAATCCATGGCGGTTTCGGTTCGAATCGAGAGTTCATAATCCGCCCCCTGGTCTCAATGCCAAAAATGACAATTCTGGAAATTGCACCAGGGATATTTCCACTTATCAATTTTTGAAAATTACGAGGTAAATTTCCAGTAGAAATATAACTAGTGCATAAAATATTTCCGGAAATTTTTGAAAATTTTGTCTGAAGCCAATTTTTTAACAAAATCATGAGTGCATAGCGCCTGAAAAAATCCCGAACCCGAAGGGTGAGGGATTTTTTCTTTGGCGCTATGCACGAATGGTTTTGTTTAAAAAAATTGATTAGAGACGAAATTTTTAAAAATTTCCTTCAGGAAATATTTTATGCACGTGTTATATTTTGATAGGAAATTGCTCGAGTTTGAAGTTTATTCATTATACGTTGTGTCGAATATTTTAATTATGGTGATGTGTTCTGTGATGGTGATTGTTATTGATCTTTCCCATTTAAATTGCGTTTGTCAAAAATATGCACTTTGACAGATTTCTGACATCAATGCGTTTTAAATGGAAAAGCTGGTCTCAATGCCAAAAATGACAACCTAAAGGTGGGTTTCTGACAGACGCCGCGCGGCATTGTCGCATTGGAAATTGCACCCGGAAATATCCCGCTCACCAGGGATATTTCCACTTATCAATTTTTGAAAATTACGAGGTAAATTTCCAGTTAAATATGCACAAGGGAAATTTCCAGTTAAATATGCACAAGGGAAATTTCCAGTAGTAATATAACTAGTGCATAAAATATTTCCGGAAATTTTTGAAAATTTTGTCTGAAGCCAATTTTTTAACAAAATCATGAGTGCATAGCGCCTGAAAAAATCCCGAAACCGAAGGGTGAGGGATTTTTTCTTTGGCGCTATGCACGAATGGTTTTGTTTAAAAAAATTGGCTAAAGACGAAATTTTTTAAAATTTCCCTTAGGAAATATTGTATGCACGTGTTATATTTTGATAGGAAATTTCCCTTGTGCATATTTAACTGGAAATTTACCTCGTAATTTTCAAAAATTGACAAGTGGAAATATCCCTGGTGAGAGGGATATTTCCGGGTGCAATTTCCAATGCGACATTGCCGCGCGGCGTCTGTCGGAAACCCACCTTTAGGTTGTCATTTTTGGCATTGAGACCAGCTTTTCCATTTAAAATGCATTGATGTCAGAAATCTGACAAAGTGTATATTTTTTGACAAACGCAATTTAAATGGGAAATATCAATAACAATCACAATCACAGAACACATCATCATAATTAAAATATTCGCCACAACTTATAATAAATAAACTTCAAACTCGGGAAATTTCCTATCAAAATATAACACGTGCATAAAATATTTCCTAAGGGAAATTTTTAAAAATTTGGTCTTTAGTCAATTTTTTTAAACAAAACCATTCGTGCATAGCGCCAAAGAAAAAATCCCTCACCCTTCGGGTTCGGGATTTTTTCAGGCGCTATGCACTCATGATTTTGTCAAAAAATTGGCTTCAGACAAAATTTTCAAAAATTTCCGAAAATATTTTATGCACTAGTTATATTTCTACTGGAAATTTCCCTTGTGCAAATTACACTAGAAATTTTGCATACAAATTGTCAAAATTAATAAGTAGAAATTTTTGGAAATATCCCGGGGAAAATTTCCAGAATTGTCATTTTTGACATTGATGCCCGCTTTTCCATTTAAAACGTATTGATGTCAAAAATCTGTCAAAGTGTATATTTTTGACAAACGCAATTTAAATGAGAAAGATCAATAACAATCAACAACAATAAAAAAAATCGACACAACGTAGTAAATAAACTTCAAACTCGGGAAATTTCCTATCAAAATATAACACGTGCATAAAATATTTCCTAAGGGAAATTTTAAAAAATTTCGTCTTCAGCCAATTTTTTTGAACAAAACCATTCGTGCATAGCGCCAAAGAAAAAATCCCTCACCCTTCGGGTTCGGGATTTTTTCAGGAGCTATGCACTCATGATTTTGTTAAAAAATTGGCTTCAGACAAAATTTTCAAAAATTTCCGGAAATATTTCATGCACTAGTTATATTACTACTGGAAATTGGTTACCCGTGATATTTGGATGAAATTTAAATATGTTGTTGGGGATGCCGTAAGCACCATTTTTTACCATGGGTACAACTCTGTATATATAACAGGTGAGGCGTAGTTAGCTGTCAAATATTGGAAACTTATATCCAAAAGCAGAGCGACTATGGCAGATTTTGATGAACGAAGTATCGATGTCTACTAAGTCGACCATGTTAAGTCGAAAAATGTCAACGATTTTGACACCTGTCAAAACCCTGCCAAACAGCAGCACTCATCTTTTCCCGTTTTCAATATTTTATGATGTCATTTGACATTTTTAACTTGTATGTGAATTCTGAATTCAAAAATTGGAAAAAAAATGACAGAACTGTCAAAACCTGTCATTTGTTTTAGTAGAAAAAAATACTCTAATCTAGTTCTTTTTTGTTTCAAGGTTGTTTATTAGTGATAAAACATTAAACAAAATTCATGCATTTCACATTTTAACTCTGACAGTTGTCAAAATGTGACATACCCAAACTTTGTTTAATATTTTATCACCAATAAACTACCTTGAAACAAAAAAAGAATCAAATTAAAGTATTTTTTTCTTCTAAAACAAATGACAGGTTTTGACAGTTCTGTCTTTTTTTTTTTCAATTTTTGAATTCAGAATTCACATACAAGTTAAAAATGTCAAATGACATCATGAAATATTGAAAAATGAAAAAGATGAGTGCTGCAATTTGGCAGGGTTTTGACAGGTGTCAAAATGGTTGACATTTTTCGACTTAACTTGGTCGACTTAGTAGAAATAGATTTTTTCTTCATCAGAATCTGCCATAATTATTCGGCTTTTGGATATAAGATTCCAATATTTGACAGCTAATCACGCCTCACCTGTCATATATATAGGGTTGTGCCCATGGTAAAAAATGTTGCTTATGGCATCCCCAACAACATATTTAAATTTCATCCAAATATCACGGGTAACCAATTTCCATTTAAATATTGCGGGGTCCTTTTTATTTTTTATGTTTTTTATAATTTTTTAGAATCATTTTACTTTGTACCTATCATACCGACATGTCACTTTGTCCTTATTCACAAACCACTAAACATGGATTAAATAAATTCGAAACGTCGGTAAAGAAATAATTGGTTTCTTTCAACTTTGACCAATATACCCACAATCCTCAACTGAAGGTAACTCTAAATGTTCGTCAAGCTAATACACCTAATCGATCAGAAGCGTGGCATTTGCTAACCATAATTTGGTTTTGATAAACATGTTTATAATATATTGTGTCCAATATCACAACTTGTATTTGAACTTCGAAGCTAAGCTGTTTCTTTAATCATAATTATTATAGGGCTTAATTGTGAAAAAAATTATCTGGTTCTGGTAGGTACTTTCTTAAACTTCAAATGTTTTAAGCTCTATGTCTCCATTTAGGTGAGAAAAGCTGCGATGGCATGGCGCCGCAACAAAGAATCAACAAACACAGCTTTCATGGATTTGACCAGCGAAACCACCCTGCATTATCGAAGAGAAGAAGTTATTTCCAACGCTAGAACTAATTGGGAACTACTCAGGTGAGTTTTTATTAGACACTTTTATAAATGTTCTTACCTATGTTTTATTTTAGGTCACAAACTAAATGTCTTACAAACAATGTTACTACAGTAGACAAATCCGTGAAAAACCTAAAACCGGACTCTGATTTTATATTAACGTCTTTAAGCAAACCTAGCACAAAACTACCACTACAGAAATCAAAATCCTTCATTAAAATCTCCTCGAAAGTGCCATTGCTGCCTGACAAAAAACTTAGTTTAGTCAGAGCAGCTTCTCAAGATACTGAAAATTCGCAAAATACAACAAGCAGCACTGCGTCAAATGAATTTTTAAAACTACCCCCCATTCTGTTGCCGATTATTAGTAAATTAGAAAAAAGTGAGACTACAACAAAAGACGATAATAGTTCCTTAAAACACTCAGGTAGTTTATCTAGCGTAGGACCAAACATTGACAGTTCTAGTTCAATGGCTAGCGGTAGCGATGCCCCCCAATCTAGTTCAAGCAGTTCGAATGCCTCAGAAAGTTCAGATTCTGAATCGGAACAAGACGTGAAAGATAAGACGAAAGTTGAACAAAACACTTCAATATTACCATTACTGGAAAAAGTTCCAAGCACACCGCCAACTGGAGATACTCAGCCACAACACCCGCCTACTAATAATAATTCACCGTCAGAGGATACTTCGAGCAATTTATCAGCAAATACTACTAACAGTATATCGTTGGTCAGCAATAATTCAGAGAGCGACAAAGGCAGTACCAAATCGAGTAGCAACAGTACCAGCGGCATTACGAGAAACGTGAAAAGTGCTGCTGGAAGTCGAAGTTTGCCATTGAAATGCAACGGACGGGCGGCTACAGCTAAGGCTAAAAAAGTTGGGTCTCCGATTGTACCAAAAGACAGGTAACTTGATTTTGGTATAAATGAAACTTGTTGTCAATAGTTCAACAACAAAATAAAAATTGTTTTATCTACAAGCGTTTGGTTAGGACGTTTTTACATAACTATTTTTCCAGTATTTGAGTTATGTCATGAGGCTCCTAACACAACTAGTTGTGTTATGGACTAGGTTATGAATAGTGGTGGAGAACTATCGATGGCGCTATCGATAACTATCGATAGTATTGACTATCGAAATATATCGATAGTTTTTTTTAACCATCGATAGTTTTCGATAGTTGGCTGTAACGCTCATTAATAAGCGAAAGTTAGGTTAGATGCACGAAACTGAACTGCAAAAACAAGAATCGTAAACTACTAACGATTGCTCATTCTCATAAGGCGTAAGTTTGCCAGTTCTTAAGTGGGCAAGGCCTGCGAGTGACGTCACAATTATCAGTACCTTATAGCGGTGACGTCACCCGCAGGCCTCAATGGGATGCTTGCAATTCAGGCTGTGCTTTTGAGTTAATTTTTTTGTCGATTTTAAATGTAGAAAAGCTGATTTTAAAAATGGAAATTTTTTATAAAAAGCAATCTAAAAAGACTTTCACTGTGGTGCGTGGTGCCATTATTTCTGACAAAAGTTCTTGAAGAATGTTGAAATAATCGATAATGATAATGATTTTTATACAAAAATTCTAGGCTTTCAGAATAGGATATTTTCATTTTCCGAAAAAAATATGTTCTCCGCAAATGATAGATGTTGATGTTTAAAGATCATTAAACTATTTCCTATTTTTAGTACGTCAAAAAGAAAATAAGGTTTTTGTCTATCTATCCTTTGCTAACTAATGTAATTTACATTCATATGACGTACAGATATCTTGAATATTTCCTTATAACTTGTAACTAATTACTATCGAAAACTATCGATATTAATCGATATTCAAGGTCCCGACTATCGATAAATATCGATGGTCGGGACTATCGATAGTTCTCCACCTCTAGTTATGAATTCATAACACAACTAGTGGTGTTATGGACAAGGTTATGAATTCACAACACAACTATTTTTGGTGATTTGACAAATGTCAAAGGTAAACCTGTAAAGGTAAAATGAAGGTATACAACGACTAATAAACGAAAATGATTGAAAAATAGTAGATTATACCACGAGTCAATAATGATAGCTATTATTCCCGAGGATTATTACGAACTGAGCCGCGTTAGCGGCGAGGGAGTAACATTCCGAGGTAATAATAGCCATTATTGCGAGTAGTATACTCTACTTTATTTACGACAAATTAATTTATTTGAGATTTTCAATGAACAAATTTCATCCGTCTCATAATTTTCAATACAAATCCACAAGCACTACACGTTTGACACTGACACTTTTGTGGAATAATGACCATTAATCCCGCTACTCGTCATTAATCCCTGGAGGAATAACATATGTCATTATACTGCCAAAATCACAAATATAATACGCACATTATACATTAGTCGTAAATAAAAAATCTTATTTTTCGCTTTGTAGATAAAAAGTTGTACATCACACGTGCGTTTAAACATGACTACAAAACTTGTGTGATTAGAACGACTCGGTCTACGACCTCGTCGTTTTAATCTTTCACACTCGTTATTGTAATCATGTTCATAAACGCACTTGTAATGTAAATAACTATTATATCAATCTATGTTGCACCGTGTCACTTACTCAATTTCTTATACTTTTTTTAGAGAACAAGGTGGCGATTATCTAATTGAAATTTGTGGCAGACATTTGAATGTCTACGGACAAGGTGCTCTACGTTTCATTGACAAGCCATGGAACGCTAGCAAGGCTAATGACGTGATTTCCATTAAGTTCAACTATGTAAATTTCAATAGCATAATTAGTTCGTTGACCAAGATAAAACACAGATTTCCGAATGCCGACCATTTTGTCTTCAAAGAAACCAACATCACTTGTATAGGCCAACTGAATGCCATCGCTGAAGTGCAAGGCCTTATATCTTTAACTATAGATTCAGAAGGTAATCCTATTAGTGAAAAACCATGGCAAAGCTATGCAATTTATAGACTGGCACATTGGGGGTTGAAAATCATTAATGAACAAGAGGTAAGATTACTTTTCGTTGGGAATCTTAAAGTTCCCAACATTTACTGGAAAATTAAAATTAAAATACTTTTTCATTGAATGAATTTAAAGTTGTCAATATTTTGTCGTATTTGACTATCCTGTAGTAACCGTATCATAATGTGTAGTCGTTTTGTCACTAATTCCATTTTTAGTTTAGTGAAGATGACATCAAACAAGCCAACAAAGAATACCAAAGCCTTAGCGACATAGTTTTATGGTCTTTACCAGACGTGCTTCTACAACCTCTACTAGTTCGGCTTAGAATTGACATAAATCATGGAGTGACTGAACAAAACGCTAAAAAATGGCTCTTGCAAGCAGATCCTGAATTGAGAAGCGTGGTGAGCAAAGAAGCTCTACAGTGGAAGAAAGGGTCAGTCAGTCAAGACGATTTAGCAATGCGACAAAAAGCCAAACAACACATCTCGAGTCTTTTTGAAGATATGACAAACGCCATGAATAAGTTGAAAATATTAGATCAAGACTGGCCTCAGATTATGCACGAATTTGTTCAGAATACTTTATTGGACTATTCTCAGTTGGATATGTATATGAAACAAAAAATTCAAGAACTTAACAAATAAGATTTTAGTCAATAAGTTTTCCTTAAATAAGATAGTAATACTACCTACATATTAAATTAAGGACAAGACACTGCCCCGGGACTTGTTACACTTTTCTAGAATCACAATATTTTTATGATACATTTTCTCGAGTCATTTTTAATGTTTATTGTTATATTGTTAAATGTAGGAGTAAGAAATAAATCGTAATTTTTTAAAGTTATATTCTGATTCGTACATTAAATATACCTACTTCAAAAAGAACATTGGAGCAAATAGATCAGAAGAACTTGAATTTCAAAAGTTGATGACTAGTCAGAGGACATATCCTAATAATTATTCCTCATATCAGTGTATGAAATTAAACTCATTTTGATTTAATCTTTATGTGTTCCTCTTGTTTTCGATCAAAATTTGTTCCTAAATAGTTGTAAATAATGTGTTAAAGTTTGTGTTTAACAAAAAAACAACATGAGTTGGAGCTAATATCTACTTTTTAATTAAAATGTATCCAAAGTAGTATCACAGCATATACAAAAACAATCAGCAGGCTAACTCGAGTGGTATAAATGTGTTATTCTACGTCGATGTCAATATGACACATTTAGTTGTGGATTTAGCAATGTCATTTACATGTCACTAGAGGCGATTTCGCCTCAGTTTGGTACCGCAGTTTGGTCTGTCAAACACTGTGGTCAAACAGGTACCATTCAATTTCGGATGGGTGAATGATGCTGTCACAAAAACTTTGGTAGGTCCTTTGGTCTGTCAGATGCTATACCGCGGCTTGACTGGGCAGTGGAGGTTTGGTAGCTTTCTGTTTCTTTTTATCTCATGTCCAAATAAAGATGTCAAAGTCAAAATGTACTAAACGCCCTATCCACTGAATGAGCTCTTTCACTAAAATTTAAATACATATAATTTAAGTATAAAATCCTAAAGGAGGGACTATTTTAGGCATATATACCAACAAAAAAAAGTTATACAAGGTTAAATAAGTTTTTTACAGCCACTTGAAACTGGCGAAATTACGCGCCGATTGATGACGTCACATTAATATTTTTCATTTAGCTCATGTTGTTGCAAGGAGCTGACCGGCTCGGCTGTGTTGCGCTCTGTAAAAGCACAGCAAGTACGTAAAGGTTGGAATGCGCTGTCGGTTGTGACTAAATGTAGTGCAACGTAAAAAAAATAAATAAAACTAAACATAAAAAATTGTATTAAATTGTGTTTAAGCATAATTTCAAAAAAAAATGGTATAAAATCTTGAATCCATAACTGATTAATTTAACTACTTTTCATGATATTTTGCCAAAATTTCAGATTTAAATCTATTACAAACAGGGCCGGATTGCATGGAGGTAAGTAACACCCTGTTTAGCATTCAGCAATCCGTTCGACAACGGTTCGGTTTTTTAAATGTGACACCCGTGGTTGCATGGATGTGCGCTTTATCGGGTGTTACTTACCCTCGGTATTAGATAAGCCTATTTACTACACACCATCTTGTAAATACAGGGTGTCCCGCGGTGGATGGCGTATTAGACGTTTATGGAGAACTAAAAAGCGGATCATTTTGAAAATTTGGCAACCGGGATAAACGACCATGATCTACACTTTAAAAATATTTTTGACCATGCGGTGTTGCCGCTTCTACTCTAAACTAGTGGCAACATCACTATTTTAAATGGAACACCCCGTATTAAATTGCATATTTGGATTCTACGTAAAATTCTGAGCAGATTTCATGTGATATACCCTATACCTAAGTTCAACTGTTTTGGAAATATTGACAGTTGAAAATTGACTTTTTGCAACTTTGACAGACTGTAAAACCTAATTGGTTAATTTTAGAGGAAAACCGATTTCACATTCCTATCTTAGATTTTGATAAACTATCATTTGACACCAACTTTGAACTTAACCGAAGATTAAATTTAACTGAAATTTTTAATCATGGACTTAATTCAAAGATGATGTCAAATGATAGTTTATAAAAATCTAAGATAGGAATGTAAAATCGGTTTTCCTCTAAAATTAACCGTTCCGGTTCTACAGCCTGTCAAAATTGCAAAAAGTCAATTTTCAACTGTCAATATTTCCAAAACAGTTGAACTTAGGTATAGGGTATATCACATGAAATCTGCTCAGAATTTTAAGTAGAATCCAAATATGCAATTTAATACGGGGTGTTCCATTTAAAATAGTGATGTTGCCACTAGTTTAGAGTAGAAGCGGCAACACCGCATGGTCAAAAATATTTTTAAAGTGTAGATCATGGTCGTTTATCCCGGTTGCCAAATTTTCAAAATGATCCGCTTTTTAGTTCTCCATAAACGTCTAATACGCCATCCACCGTGGGACACCCTGTATGTAATTATTTTAGGGCATTGAAATTTTAAAACATGAGTATATAAGTGCAAAATATAATTATTATTGTTATATTATTCTAAATTATACTGTGCGTTCGTAATTTAGCATATAAAAACAATAAAAGAGATTTCTAGAAAAACCTCGGACACTAATTTTAATTTAGGAGAACGTCTTTTTCACTATTTGTATATAGTTGTGGAACATCGGAAAATCCAAAAAGAAGGCCACGTTACACATTTTTAAATAACACACTGTATATGACCTTTTTTTATTTGTTTTTTTTTTTGTGAAATAACAAGGAATTTATTAATATATAGGGTGGGCTCAAAAAACCGGAATTTTGTTTTTGAGCTGTAATTTTTTTGTTGCTGACCAATTTCCTATTGTGTGTAGATATAGACTACAAAAGATTCAGAACAATTGTGTACGATAGGTATATACTGAACCACAGATTGAACATAAATAGACGAGAACATGTTACTCCTTACATTAGAGTGAAATGCTCAAGATAAAAGAAAGAAGATTTTTACATTTTGCTGTTTTGATACAAAATATTATTTAGAACTCAGAATATCTCTCCGGTGAGACTTGGTGACATTAATACCAGATCAAAAAGGAACAGATACTTTCGAATTACATTGTACTGAATTTTTTTAATCTTCTTTCTCTTATTTGGGTCTACATGTGTACATGATACCAAAAGGAAATACAAAAAGTAGGGCCTATAAACAAGAATTAACGAGCAAATTAATAAAATACAGAAAGTTTGAAACATAAAAAACTAATAATATTATATCTATACTATGTATCTAATAAAGGCATTAGGTACTGTTAAACATTATGTGAATGCAAATCTGTCCAGGGTAAGTAACACCCGATTCCGATAAAGAAACTCTCCGTTGCGATATCGGGTGTTACATTCAAATTTGCGAACGTGAGCCAAAGGGGTGTTACTTACCTCCATGCGCCCCATGCGGCCGGATTTAGGCACAGGCAACCGAGGCAACCGCCTAGGGCGCCACGATGAGGGGCCCCAAATTGAAAACAAATTTATTTCGAGTTAACAAGTTAATTAAAAATCCAGAAGGATAATAGGAACATAAAAGATCCAACAACATTAAGGATTTTTAGCAACTAATTGTTTGTACCGTGTTATAAACGGGAACTGAAAGTACATAATATTTTCAGTTACCGTTTATAACACGTTTACAAACGGTTATTCGCTAAAAAATCCTTATTATCCGGTGAAAGTTAATTTACCTGTGTCACTACTGTCACCTGTCGCCGCTCATCAAGGCACTTTCGATGATGTTTGTGAAGATTCAAGATAGATTGAACGGACTTTCGCTCTAGGAATTGAAAATGTTATAAGCTTCGACCATTGAACACACTCGATAGTTCGATTTTTATCACATGTTCAATGGTGTAGATTATAGGTCTGTTTTCCTCACCGAAATCACAAACCAGTCAGACCGTTTTTGATTGGTGCAAATCGTCAACAACCAGTTTTATGATTATTTTCAATCAATGAAATTCCCTCTGACTGGTTTGTGATTTCTGTGAGAACAGACCTATCAACGAACTCATCTCTGACTTTGCAAAACGTAACACCAAATGGGTTCATTTTTAGTGTTGATAATTTAATTAGTTCTGAGAAATTATTTTTTGCTTAGTTAATTTTGAAAATACATACAGGGTGTGAATTTGAAAATATTTTTGAGTACCTACTTATCGTATTCACCTGCACAAGAAATTTTCCAAAAATTATTTAATTTTAGGTATCACAAAAGGGGTGGTGCCATTCAAAATTTTGAAGTTGGGGTGCATGGGGCCCAAGGGGTCACTGACCCCATAACCAAAATATGATAGTTCTAGTTCCCCCTACCTGTATAACATTTGTACCAAATTATGTTTTTTTACCTTTTCTACTTTCAGAGATATGCGCATTGGAAGTTTAGAAATTGACACCCTGTATATATCATATATCCACAGTATATATCTGTTTTCGCCGCAGACATCACATACCTATCAGACCGAATTTTATTGGCTGTAAACTATCAGAAAACTGGTTGCTGGCGATTTGCACCAATCAAAAACACTCCGACTGGTTTGTGATTTCTGTGAGAACACCTCATGTAATAAGTAAACATACTTATTTAAAAAAATGGAGTTACTTTTTTTGTCTTATTCTCCTACTCTCTAAACAATAGCCTAAAATTCATTGTTCATCATAATGATCTTTAACCATTTTGACAATACAATTTGAGAAGGGGGGGGCCAGAATGGAACTTTGCCTCGGCATATAATAGCTATTGGACCGGCTCTGATTACAATTTTTCAATGTTGACAATTAGTGGCAACACGGTCAAATTGCGAGCTGCGACGCCATAGAAATAAATTCTGGGTTTTTAATTGGAGGTATTTCTTTTTTTTTCTGTTTTCTCAAGAAGGACTATGAATTTTTCAAAAGTAAAAATACAGTAAATTCTGTTTTTAGTTGCTTTATCCAAATATGCCAATTTCATAAATTAGTGAAAAAGCCCATTCGGATGAGATTGTTGAGCTACGTCACTTACGTACCAATTGGTTAACCATTCGCCTACCAAACAGCAGATGAGAATCTGAGGCGAAATCGCCTTAGGTCGTTCATAATAGCATTAGTGCGTTTAAGAATTCATAAAAACACCATGAACACAAATTATGAAATGAAAAATATACAAAAAGAAAGTTAGTTACCAGAAGAACCTTTTCATTGATGCTATCTCGATATTCGAAGGGACACTTTCGAACTCAGAATCACCTACAGTGAGCACGTAAAGGTTGGAATAAAATATAAAATATACAGGGTGGAT